TGACTTCACCACATCTTTGTAAATAAGACAAGTTCTTCACCTCCTTTTGATTTTCCACAATGTCATCATCCTCTTTATCCGTTTGGTAAACTGCAAAAGAATGAAACAAGGCAACGTTTAAATGAAGTAGAAACAAGTGGATGGGTTGATACAAAGGAACAAAAAAAATGTTACAATATGTATTATTCTTAATAGATGTAGAAAATGAAAGAAAAGTGTGTTTATTACGTGCTAGCTAAATAGGCTTTAGTGATTACCGCAGAATATGTATTAATCTTGAAGTTCTGGAGATAAGGAAGCCTTGATTCTCTCAACAGTGCAAGCAATAAGATTATTAACAGTAGCAACAGAACCAAGAGAAAGCCTAGCTGTTGGTACTGAATCAACCAATATTTGAAATGCCACAGTTAAGAGTGATCCACTAGGTCCAGTTTCACCAATGGCATTTCCATCTGGTAGAATTGCAAATCCTGAAGGAAGAAGGGCTACATAGTCTGGGTCTCCACCATTTAGAACAACATTCATTGCAACAATATCAACTGGAGCATAGATAACAAAAGAGCCTGTTGAATCTGCGCAACTCTCTTGTAATATTAACATGTTACTCTGGCTTGAATTGGCACTCTATGCAAGGTTATAATTTAGTTTAGTCACACTTCACAAATAGAAAAGTAAGGTCAACGTTTCATAAAGTTGAAAACATGAAAGATAAACGTACATTCACTCTAAGAAGAGACACACAATTTCCAGTTTCTTGTCCATTTGCAATGTGCGCCATTTCTTGGACAGCTCCACCATTTGAAAGAATATCCCACTGTTATATAATGGGTTTAAAAAGTTTAATGACATCAAATAAATTAAAAATTTAATGAATATGAAGATCAAGTGACGAGTACTAATCCTCAAGAACATGCTTTAGGTTTTTATTCAATAATTAGTAAAATTAGTTAAATTTATTAGAGGTTAAAGAATGTTAGTATAAAATATTATACATATAAGCGTTTGTATAGGCAATGACAATGGCATTGTGAAAATTCATGAAAAATAATGTGACAAATAAAGTTTTATGAAACATCCCTAGAGTCTTCATTAAAAAGTTGGCATACGTCACACAACTGTCTTTGGCAATTTGAAAACGATATGCAATCTAAATCATTTGAATTTGATGGGAAGATGATTAGCTGTAAAAAGTGGACAAGTAATAAAACTAAAAGACTAATACTAAAGTTGAAATTCAGACACATCCTTAGTAAGAAATATTACCATATAAAATTATCTAACAAATTAAGTAACTATAACTATGATTACATAATACTGCAGCCTAAAAAGTAAACTAGTTTGAAATCTTCACATACCTCACTTCTAGAATTCTCATCACGGAGGAAGTCAAAAACTCTTTTCATTGGAACAGGAAGCCAAAAAGAAGTTGCAGCACTAAGAACAATACCAGGAGGTCTACCTGGGTCATCAACACTCTTTCGGGTCATGACCCTTACATCATCAGCCCCTGTCCCTGTCTGTAGTGTGGTCCATGTGTGAGTAGTAGAAGCACTCACTCCACCACAAAAGCTTATAACCATCCTCTCAGCAAGTTTCATCATACTCTTCCTCCCTTCTTGGTTTGTTATCACTAACATTATAGCAGAATTATAAATTAATCTAAGCATCTAACATAAAAAATCACCACCAAAAAGTTTTGAATGAATAGAGTTTATTAATACCGCCAACTTCTATTGTGGGTATGTTTGTTGCCATGGCACTAGCAAGCCTTTCACATTGGCGATCTAAGGTTGCAACCCAACGTTTTGCACCAAATGCATTTCCAGTGCTAACAAGCTGCTTGTAAAGATCATGAACACCTCTATCATCAACTTCCACATGCTCCACCCATGTGACCTGATTAGGCATAAATAAGCTTATACTTAAGCCGCATATAGAACCAAATAATAATACAAAAATATAAAGTATAAACCATAAGGTTTATTAGCTCTTTAGGAATATGAAATCATGGTATTGTTATTACCTTTGAGTATCCATTGGGCAATTCTTGAATTAAGCATCCAGAAGGCCTTCTTCTACATCTAGGTGAAGGACTAGGGCGCAAATTATCCAAAGACACGTCCACTACTGCCCAAGTCCCATCTATATGTTGTTTACAATATCTTACAAAATAACTCTCACGAGTTGGCACAAGAGGTGAAGGTACTTGTAGCTCTGCTGTCATCTGCATATATTAATCAAACAAACGATTTAGTAGATAGTGAGTAAAACTATATGATAGAGAAGAACAAAAATTGATGTTGTATAAACATATACCACTTGTAAGGCACCATTATAGTTCCCTGCAACCCCCGTTGACAACACTTCCAGAGTCATTGCTCTTGAGACAATACCAGAGAACACTGTTGACCATTGATTCTGAAAATTACAAAGGAATCACATGTCAAAATCTATAATATAATACAGGCTTAAAAATTAAGAAATAACAATGAATTCACTGTTAATAGCTCATTTAGAGTTCAAGATCACAACACACTTTAATTTATATTGAGCCAAAGTATTCTTGCTTATAACTTTAGAGTAAAGGACAGTTGCTACTCTAAAAATACATGAAAGTCGCATTTTTGGGCAAATTCATGAAAGACATGTTTTTGGGCAAATACATGAGAGACAAATTTAATTTCTGGAAAAAAAAAAGAATCTCAACTTAATTAAAAAATAACAAATGTAGCTTAAATTATTCCGTTTACAGTATAAATTATAGTAACACCTCATTCCCCTCTGTCGTCAAATATGTTTTCACAGTTTTTTTTTTAAGAAATAATTTGGGCTTATATTCTTACATTTAAAGATAAATTCATTGTAGGTAGTATTTTCTTTTTCAAAAAATATATATTATACACATGAGAAGCACTAGCTAGTAATGGAAGGGAAGAAAAGTTATACCACATCCATGAGAATCTCAACAAGGTTGACATGATTCATGATAACAACAGTAGTTTCTCGAGAAGCTTCACATTTGAAGCCAATAGGTTTTGGGCCAATTCCCCGGGGGAAGGACCTAATGTATTCATCTTCGTTTAACACAGCAGAAGTGCCATCATGGGTGTGGGTGGTCAACCAAAGAGGCTCACCCATTTGTGCCATCCCAATAAGCTCCTCCATAGCTGCAACAGCAAGCTCAATTATTATTGGCTTGTCAGATTCAGTGGGCCCACTAATTGACCTTAGAAAATCTCCACCACCTCCATACATATCACCACCACCAATCCCAGCTGGCTGGCCACCAAAACCGCCACCAGCTGCAAGTTCTAGTGGGCGTTGAGGAAGAGAAGGGGAAAGGTTTGAATAATTCACCACTGACTTTCCCACGTACTTGGCAGCAATTGCAGAAATACGATCAATCTGAAACAAACAAAAAAGTAAAGGTTAGATAATAAATCATTGATCAACCACCTAGTGATGGGGATAACATCCCTTGTTAGTACCTTTTTTAACAAATCATTGTGTGCTGACATATGATTTAGTCAAAAAAATAGACTTAATATTTCTATGACGAACTATAGGTCTGTCACATAGAGAATGATAAGAAATATGTAACAAAGAATGTTATGCCGCAAACTTATGATTTGGTCTAAAAATATTTTAGCATAATATTTTGTTGATGGATCAATAATTGTTGGCACATGTAATGGTACGAAATTAGAATACGAGGCATTTTCAAGTATTGTACTTAAAAAGTTGACAAATTCTTGTACCTCTTCTCTTAGCCTAGCATTTTCAAGTCTCAAGTGATGTTCATCAAACGACATCTCGCCTGGAGCAGTTGGTCCACCACAATTAGAACACGAGGCATTGCTAAGAGCTTCCCTATATGTCATGTTTTCAGCTCGAAGCTTGTCATTTTCGGTTCTAAGCTGTGTGTTCTCATGACGCTCATGTTGGGTCTGAAAAACAAAACATATACATAAAAGGGCTTTCTTTTCCACCGACAAAGGACCACCAAATCACTTAACTTAAGTGTACCTTCATTTGAGTGCGCTTGTTCTGAAACCAAAACTTAACCTGCAATGGCTCTAACCCTAGCTCCCTGCTCAGTTCCTTCCTTTGCTTGTCATCAGGGTGTGGACACTCCTTGAAGAACCTGAAAGAAAAAAATAATTCTATTTTGTGAAAAATAGATGGCAGGTAAATTTAATTCTTCTTAGACCCCAACAGGTTTTTGTGGCAGGTTTGAGAGCAATAAATTATGATTTTTGATTTTACAGGAGATATATGAGAAGATGGTTCTTACGCTTCCATTTCTTGGATCTGATGCTGAGTGTGACGATGGTACCGCTTCTTCTTTGCACTGGGCTCTTGGTCTTCACCAGAGGCACCTTCCTGGTTTTCACTACCAGACCTGTTAGCACTGTCGAACTCAACGATCCGAGGTATATCGCTCTCAGAAGTGTTCTGAGCCATGTTGTCAAGTGCGTTAAGAAACTGATGGTTTGGTTGGAACATATTCACGGATCTTCTTATTTGGTTTCAATCTAAGCAAAAGAAAACAATACAACGTACATTCTGAAAAGAAATAAAAGGACAAAGCAGCAAATCATGTAATTAGTGTGAGGAAAAAATTGTGTTTTAAAAAATAGGGATTTGACCATGTTTTATTTTTTCTAGATATATAGTATATATTTTGAGAAAATAAAGTAGATGGGAAAAAACGCGTTTTTCGAATATCGAGAAGGATATATGGCCTGGTTGATGGAGTTATACCGAAATACAATCGAAAAAATTAGACCTTTTGAAGATGACTTTTAAATAAATTTTGGGGAATTGAAAAAAAGAAGATAGGAAAGTGAAAAGACCTGAGTGAGTAGGTGGAAAGTTTTTAAGCACCGAACTAACCAAGAGTGAGGACTGATGATGATCCAAACCCACCAACGCTGATGTTCCTTCCAATGTTTCTCACCCGAATCATAATACTAGCTTGCATATTTCACCATACATAGTTTTTATGGAATATTTAAATCTTTTCTCTTTCTCTCTCTTCTCTCTAGCAAAGGTCTTCCGAGGAGGTTCTTAGATTGAGAATTTCAGAGGTTGTGCTCTTGGATTATGTCACCTGGTAATATCGAAGGAAAAGAAGGATTAGGTCACTGCAAGAAGAAAAGGCAAACAAGACGAAAAACGCTGACATATAAACGTGACTTCCAGGAGAACATGAAAAAGAAAACATGCGTTATATATATTATGACATGAAACGCAAAGAAAGCATTGACGGTTTTTATGATACGGCTTTTTGACAAAACAAAATCAGAATCAGCGCAAATCAAATCAGAAAGTTAAAAATAAATAAAAAATCTAACGCCAACAAAGATCTCGGAGATTCTAACCACGCTTCATATGGTCATATCTTTCGATATATTTTCTTCAAAGTTAGTATTGGTTTTCACATTCTAGGGAATGCCCTAGATATGAACGCAAGGTTTCTTTTCTCTTTCACTCTCACTTGAACCAAAAAAAATGTTAGAACCTTTTTTAAAACACTATGGTTTCTTTTTGCAAAATGAGAACCTTTCGAAACCAAAATTTGTTATGATTTTTCACTTGCCAGTTGCGTGGTAGTTGAAGTTGATGAGGCTAACTATGGGAAGATAGCAACGAAAGTATAGATCTTTTTGGGACTGTAAACTTATTGCAGAAGAAAGAACCCTTTTCAAAGAAGGATTTGAGAAACCATTATATATGAGAATAAAGTAGCTGATAAATGGTAAAAAAGAGAGTGGAAGGAAGGTTCTGATGATAGTGTAGGTTAGCCAGAAAAGCTAGTTTTTTTTCTCAAAGAGAAATGGGGGGGGGGGGGGTAGAAGAAGAAGATAGGAGAATCATATTGGGACAAAGGCATTGAAGGAAGAAAGAAAGGGAAAAGGGAACATATGGAGGAAAATGTAGCAGCGATGAGTAATTGCAGAGAGGATTGAGAGGGTGCAATTGCATTTAATGGTGGGCGAGATAGGTGTAATTGCTCTGAGGGAGAGTGAGAGAGAAAGAGAACAATTTTGTTTGAAGGTTCTCCTTTACCTGGAAAAGCAATAAGAGTAATATTAAAAATCTAAGTCAATTATTAAAGTATTAAATGTTTAGTTTTTTAATATTATTTATTTTTTAGTTTCTTATATCCAATCCTAAGTTTTGAGTTAATTTTCTTTTTAAATTATGCTATTATTTTTTGTCTTTGCTATCGAGTATTTTAAGTCCTATTACGATCTCTATTGCACGTACAAATATAAAATATTATTAGGATGGATATTCAGGGAAATTGAAATATTGTTGAGAAAAAACAAGTATTTATTTTTGCGAGCATAGTTTCAAATGATATTTATTTAAAGTTTACCAAAAGTAACAAGTTAAAAATTAATCCTTATTTAAATATATTTTTCAAACTCAATTAAAATTTATTAATATATTTTAGACGATAATTTAGAAGTGGGTTAAATTGTTAGGAAGCTAGATAGTTAGTTAGGAGTTAAAGTTAATTTATTAACTTTATATCATTCATTTGTGTGGATGACAAACATTTTTCTTTTCATATAAATAAGTTAAATCATTGTTAGCTGCATTTTTCAATGTATAAGTGAAAAACAACTTTAAATCACTCTATCCAAATAATCTCGGTTGAGTTTGATAGGAAATAATAAGGAGCAAAACATTAAGAATTTAAACACATACGGGCACATATAGGTATATGCATATATGTTAATCGATGATAATTTTAATGACTATTAACTATCCTATTTAATTTATTTTATAAATAAATTTAACTACTTTTTTACATATTAAGAAAATTATTAAAAGGCATAACTACTTTGATTTAATAAAAAAGACATACAGAAATTAAAATTATTATTGTATATAAGAAATTGTTTTAATTAAAAGTGGTATAAGGTCGTTTAAAGATAGTTAATTTTGTTTATATTTGAGATCAGAAATATTCATTTTTTTTCTTATAAATGAGACTAGAGATAATATTACATTATATAACAATTTTACTTATTTATACAATAATTAATAATTAATGTAATACCTATGCGAATTTATAATAATATAATAATTAAAACTTATTTGTATACTATTATAAAGTGAAGTAGTATTTTGACAGCATAAATTTATATTTTTGTATTTTAGGATAAGTAATAATTTATATATCCAATTTAAATCAAATTATCACTCTAAAATCAAATCTGTCATAATCTTAATGTCTTCTATTTTTTTATTTATGCATATATAAATTCTATTTATGAAAATATTTATCTATAACATTAAATTTATTGAATTATAAAAATATCCGTTGACATTCATAAATATTTAAATTTATCGAACTAGAAAATTGCAAATTGACCAGCATGATAATGCAGGTCAAAGCACTAATAATATTAATAACAATAGTGAAAATCATCCTATCTATTTATCCTCTATGAAGAATCTCCCGGAATTATATTTGCTATCGTTCATCCTAAGGAAATAACGGATTTCTAGCTCTGCCACATGGGTATTAAATCTATTCCATATTAAATCAAAATTATTTTAAGATAAAAAAATAAATTATTATATTTTTACTCAAAATACTATATCGCTTTTTTTTTACTAATGTTATCGCCGTCACTTACACTTTTAAATTTGTACAACTCAATAAACTGTTAAGTACTTTTTATTATTTTATAAAGTTCAACTCATTTTATTTTTCTCCACTTTCAGTATGGCTCCATGATTATGGTATGTCTAGAGGCACAACCTAATACAATTGGGAATTCACCCAAATATTTAAATTTAAACATTATATGTGCCTAACTTCAATAAAGTAAACTGCCAATATGAGACAAGAGGCAAAAGTCAATTTCCACATATGGCAGAGGAAGAAGACATGATAGAATTTCAATGAGTATAATATCTATTGCTACTACGAAAATTTATATAAAATTATTATTTATCATTTATTTGTATTAATTTTTTTGAATATTCAAATATGATTAAACATGAATGATAAATAATACAGTAATAATATATAAAACTCATAGAAATATCGATATATATTTTAATTCTTAATTGTCAATTTAATCATTTAAATGTTGCACCCGTCACCCGTGAGGGTCTAATCTCTTTCCTACCTGATTTTAGATGCCCCTCATTCTCTAGCTTGATGGAGTATATAATGATAGGGTTTGACAAGTTTTTCATGTGACTTTTAGTTTTTTTGAATCACTCTAAAATTGGAGGTGTTTGATGAACAAGGTAGATTGTAACTTTTAAAAAAAGTAGTTTACAGCGTGAAAAACTATTTTTCAAAAATTACTTCAACTAGGTTTAGAATGTGAATATAGTTTTCAATAATTCGCTTCTCATTTCCCCTTAATATTTTAACAATTTATATTAGATGCCCTCGATTTTGCCTTTCAATATTTCAATAAATTATTTTCCATTTAATTGTTTTTGTGATGTATACATTATTCTTGCATTTGATTGTTAAGTAAATGTATTAAATATTTTCGTATTATATCTATTAATGATATATACTTTCAATCGTGAAATAATATTATAAACTTGTGAAAATTAATTGCATTTTTGGAAAAAGTATTAAAATAAATCAAACAAATGAATAAAATATTACATATCCAATTATAAGTAAAATATAAAATAAATGATTATTTTAACTTATCTTTGTATTTAATCGTTTCAATTAATAAATAACAAAATAAGTAGTAAATAATGTATGTTTTTAGTCATTTTTTAAATTTCAGCTAATTATAAAGCTCGTATAACTGAATAGCTATAGTTTAATAAACTATTTTCACATCTATAAACTTCCAGTTAATTTTAGTTAATTTTATAGCTACAAACTATAAGTTACAAGCTAAAACTCACACCTACTATCTAGTTTTCCATAATAGAACCAATGTTCACTGGGGCTTTAAGTGATACTGAATATAAAAAGAAAAAAGTTACAGAGACATAGCATCCTATTTTTTTTAATACTTTTGTTGGTGAAACAGAGGGTGTATCATATTTAAATACATTTATTTAACTTAGCTTACTTATTATATAAAGTTTTATTGGATCTCTTAACTAAGGTTAAATGCAAATGTTCCATCCCTAGAATAACAATTACTGAAAAAATGGTCACAAATTTTAAAATGATTAGTTCCTTATTAGATAGATGGTGTTGAGAGAGGGGAAATCATTTCCTAAATTGCATAGTTATTTTTTGGTTTATGCTATCAAGGAGTTATTAGCCAATGAGTGAGAGATTGTGCTTGAACATTTTCTTTAAACCAAGTTTGGACTCTATAATAATGATTCTTGGAGAGTTTGAGATTGTGTTCCTCAAACATGATTCCGCTGCTGTAGAAAGATACTGCTGGTCTAGTATACCACGGCAATTTTTATTTTTTTGAACATGTACCATTACTTGATAAATACCTAATACCTCCAAAACAAAATTAATTCGCTAACTAGGTACATTACATCATAATATGTGGATTCTCGATTCCCGTTTGTCAAAAAGTGTCATGACATCACATATATTCTTACCCATGGTTTATAGGGCCGCAAGAGATAGATATAATAAAAAAATGGGCAAGAAAAGGATTTCCCAATTTGAATGTTGCATGTCGTAATAATTGGTTGTGATTTATACGACGTTTTTTTAGGATCTACTTTGTTATATTTACCGGGTATTTGATAAGGAGTATAATGTATAGACTACGAAAATATTTGGAGAAATAAATGCACTAAGCAATATTGATCGTTAATTTTGATTTTGGTATTAAATTACGATTCTTTAAAAACATAAGATCATTGTCGAATATAAAGAAAAGGAAACAAATTTGGAGGATGTATACATACCTAATTAAATAGCATTTAATAGAAAAGAGAAAGTTTTGAAAGGAATTCGATTTATATTAAAGGAAAGCATTATACCAGCCTTTGACGCTAGTTAGTGACAGCATCTCTTAATTTATGAACCTTCTCTAACCTTACTTTGGTTCTAAATGTTCACCTAAACCCATAATATCCTAAACATCACTCATTCTCTTTAATGATAAAACTACGTTGACTACCTTATGACTCCTTAATGATCATATAACTGAACATAAATATTGAAAACTCAAATAAACAAGGAATTGAGAAAATAGCTGATTTAAAGTCAACGGTATATGACTCAGGTTCATGTTGTAACTTGTCTGAACTAATTAAACATTTAATATATCTATTTTTCATTATCTTATTCAACCCCTTAATTATTGTCAATTTGTTATTACTCATGAGATCATGTTGTTGCTTAATAATGCTTAATCTCATTTTAGACTTCTTTCTGTATATTTGTCTGTTATTTCTATTTTTTTACCTATAGCGAATGCATTACACTTTCTATAATGAATATGGTACAATATAACTTTTATAACTAAAGTTTTATCAGTTGGTTATTTTATTCATCTATTCATATCTTTTTTATTCCTGGTGGGTGAAGGTTAAACAACTAATTTCTTTTTGATGCAATAGATTGATAAATGAACCATTTTGACTTTTTTGGAAACACAGATTATATCTATTTAAATTGGCATGATCTAAATTGTGTAATTTTTAGGATTAAAAAAGTTTTTATGTGTATATTATATGCAGTTTTATTATTTTTTAGGTGGACATATTTAACTCGTTTATTTGATTAGATTGTAAGACTTTTTTAATTTTAAATATAATAATGTGTTTAGATATTTAACTTGACTATATTCAGATTATCATTTGATCAATTGTTTTGAAAAAATATGAATGAAATTTGCAACCATCACTTACTAAAA